TAACGTTCCGAGGTTTGTTTGCTCTCTCAACCCCACGCGAACTTTGGCAACCATCGACCGTTGTTATATTGGCGTGAGGAGCGAGCTTCTGAACTTGTCGAGTCGGAAGACATCTATCGAGCAATCTTTTGAGATGGCGCATCAAACGTCGAGTAGAGCCTGGGTGACAGTTGTCACGCGAGATGAGGCTGGCAAGGTGATGAGCGAAACGCGACGATTCATGAGGCTCAGCAACGGTGCGTCTGGCTCCATACCCCCGTATAATCTCGGATCAAACGAGTACTGACTTCTCCATTCCAGTGGAGCGCTTCTGCTTGGACAGCATCGTACACCGCGCAAATGCTCCAGCTGCTCGGCCATCCTCCAAATACCGCCGCCGCACGAGAAGCGAGCCAACCTTGCCCTCTCGAGATATTCACGAAGCCACACGCAGTGTATCGGGCGCGAGGCCTTCGGACGAGCGGCGCAGACATAAGCTGGGAAGGCGGATAAGAAATGTGGTCAAACGCCACGGGCGGAAGGTGGCAGCAGCAGCAGCTGTGGTCGGCGGCGTCGGCTGCATCGGCTGCATCGGCTGGCGTCTTTACTCCTGCTTGACTGCTGCACAGCCCGCGATAGCACCCATCGCAAAGAACGCCTACACTCTGCTGAGCATGCCGGAGCCTCTTGACGACCGATGGGTTCCTCCGCTGGTGCAGGTACGTAAGTACTGGCGAGAAGCAAACCGCTCGTGGAACGAGCGGATGTGGCAGGCACGCGGACTGCCGGACGCAGAGACAGGCCTGCGGGTATGGGAGCTCATGCGAGAGGCTTTCGAGCGCTTCGAGTCGTATTGGGAGGACCCCAAATCAAGAAGGGAAAAATATGGGCAGGCAGGCGGTACGCTGCACTCTGTCCTTGCGCGAGACCCGACATATAAAAAAGCAAGAGCGCTGTTGGCGGATACCTGTGTCGGAAAGAGGACTCTGTTGCGGGCGTTGACCAACGACGCCTCCAGAGCCTGGAGCGCTGCCTTGGGAAAGTCAGCGGGGTCACAAGACACTACTCTTGCGGCACTGCAGGAGGCATGCCCCTGGACCTTGCGAATGTACCTGCAGCCGTATGCTCCGTCGCGCATCCCGCCTGCCTGCGTAGACCGATACTATGGCAAGATTTCGAACATCAAAGGGATGGACAAGACTCCACCAGGGATTCCGTTACGATTTCTCCGCGCGCTGGGCCGGCAATATGACTACCCTTGGTGGATATTGCCTGATTATTACTGGCTGATCAATTTGTGGGGGAGAATGTTCCCGGAACCGAGATGGTGGGCAGACGAGAAGGTCGAAGCCTTGGGCGAGTTTGGCAAGGGCTGGGTTGTGCATAGCGACATTCAGCCCTGGCATCTCATCGGCGATCGGGAGAAACTCGGTCACACAAGGATGCGGTTGTAGAGGGGTCGCTGAGGTCGCGGCTGGTTCGTACAGACTGACGAGATCGAATCCGTGTCCATGAATGCCAGTCCGCTGGCACGTGACGTGCCATCGGGCATCGGCCCACCGAAGCTCCGACATTTCCGCCGCAAGGTAGCCGCGCACTATCATGTAGAATACGGTAATACAATGTCGTCGCATCTGAAGCATGCTGCTCTTTGTCGTGCAACCATTCTTGGTGCCAGCCCTGATAACATCGTTTCTTGCCCGCACGTTTCCGAAGAGGCCCATCGACCCGCTGATACGTGACAACAACTAACGTGCGAACTCACCCACCATCTGCTAACAATCAGAGCTTCAATCAATCCCCGAGCAACGCCGACATATACAAGCCTTCGAGCGGGCTTGCGACCCGGCCACCGACTCAGACGCTATAATAACACTACCCATGCACCCGACAGTCACCCCACGCCAACCGACGTCCTATCGCGAACATGATACCGGCCACAAGCTGTCTCGGCAAGCAGTACTCTGCCGCAGTCTGAAGGAGCCCTCCAAAAGCAACTGCAGACCTCGGGACGTTCAACGCGCGCAATGACGGCATCGCGCGTCTCAAGACTTACGATGCCTGTTGACGCGTGTCACCACGCGGCCTGATCATGTTCATGGTCAAGACATACACCCAATTTGTCACTACGATGATTAGGCTGAGCTTGACGACCCCGGTTGATAGGTGGAGAGCGATCAGACTGTGTCTTCTGCATGCCGTGGAAAGCGTTCTGGATCAGATGGCTTGCCCAGACAACACTCGAGCGCTGCATGCCGCTGTGCCGGTCTCATGGCATGGTATGTCGTCTCGTTCTCTCTAGGCGCATTCTTCATTAACATCGTCTCAGCATCCACTCCATTCTCACTTGCTCGTACCGCCTCCGAGGTCGCACATCGTCCCCCGTGCACACGCTCATCGACAGCTACCTCTCGAACGATCTATCATCCGCAAAACCCCGCCCGCAGGCGACGTCGAAAAGCCCCCCGCTCCACACCAGCCAACCGTGAAGGCCGCGGAGAATACAAGCTGCATATGGGTGGAGGTGGGATATAAACAGGAAAGCTCGGTGGGCACTGGATTGCCTTGTGCTGCAGAAACTCTCCCGCCACACCAAAATGGGGGTTGCTTTGTTTGGGCTCCCGGGCGAAACTCAATTTCTTAGAGGACAACGCCTGAATCGGCTGGCGGGCGTGCGTCGTCACCACCTGCGCATCCTCACCCAGGCAGGATTTGTAGTCCGCGCGCAAGCGAGCTGCAGAACAGCGGCGCTTGACCAGCAAGCCTAGTTACTCGCACTTTTGGAGAGGGTGCCAGTGCTACCGCGACAGAGCCTGGCGCGTGACTGTGCCCTGGCGTGCCGTGCCGTGCCGGCGTCTGCGGAAGGCGCCACGCTGGACGATCCCCGCTTGGTTGGCGGCCCACGCCCCAGCCTCATTGTGCAAGAAACCTTAATTCCACAACCCCAGCAACAAAATCGTCGCTCCTACAGCTGACCCACTAATCATTGGCGACCTGGAGGCTGCGCACTGCCGCATGAAGAGAGGACAATCTAGCTTGAGCTAGCTTCGGCGCCATTCCGGCTTCAACTCGCGACTTCCAAGGTCACATTGGGTAGCTCACTCCACGAACCCTGCGCGTCTACAACTGTGCCGTAGCCTTACCTTCATGAGAGGGTTCACAAATGACTCTTGCGACTTAACACGTCAGCACTACTAAGTAGACATTCGTGCTAGCTGTTCTACCTGTGCTCAATGCAGGCCGCTGGCTACCAGATGCCCACCTCCTCTGCATACTTTCCTCACATCTACTTGATGTTCATTGTTCTGGTATAGCCTACCAAGAGCATGGAAACGACCCACTAACACGCCTCTTTCAAGGATTGTGAGAGGCCGCTGGCTGTGTCGATAGACGTGTGGAGCCTTCTTTGCCACAACCCACTTCTTCATCACAACCCTTTGATTGGCTATAACCCTGCTAGACCTAGCTCTACATGAGTGGACGACAGTACGAAAATCGACGTGGACTACACTTCTGCCTGCCTTCTTCATCGCTTGTCCTTTCCAATTCTCTACTGCATCTGTTCGGCGAGTTCATTCATGCTACAGCCCTCCTAGCATGGAAACCTTCCGCGATGCACTGCTAAGCCCGTTTCCCAAGGGCCCATCGGACATCACAAAGTTAGACGACAGCACCCATGACCGGCAGAACGTCCGTGAATGCATCGCCCGCGGGGAGATCGAGCAGCTTCGCCTCGGAGCCTTTACCAACCGAACCTGGATCATCAGCGACCGGTATTGTGCTGTGGGCGACGGAGTCGATTCTCTTGAAGGCTACCTACATTCTATATGGCACATCTACTATCAGCTTGGTCGGCTGGCGTCTCACGAAAGCGCGGACCAAGACCGCCTGGTCCTGGATATCGTCCGCATCCAGGGACTTGGCCCCCTGACTAGGCCTGTGTCAGGAAACTACGGCATCGATATCGCACGAACAGTGCAAGGCACGCTGTGGAATGACTTGCCCTTCCTGGCCACGGACATGACGGATTTCTGGGTCACCAATTGCGCGCCCATGTCCGGTGTTCATCGCCTCAACTTGGCTTCCTTCTTGGCCAAGCTGGCGTCAACCCGCGTGGCCAACCACAAGATCTGTCAGATCGCTCTCGTCCTGTTTCGATCCACATTTGAGGAGACACGAGCCCTTTGCAGCCCAGAGACGCCAGACGATGAAGATCTATCTCGTGACATCCGCAGCCTCACCGTTGCGGATTTGCTGCCAGCTGCTTGCGCTTGGATCAAAGAGGCCAACTACTGCCTCATACAGCTATCGGACGCTTTCTGGAGCGACTGCCCAAGTACACTTAGCCAGGGTGGTCAAAATTTTGTCGAATCTGAGCTAGGAATGCGTTCGCCAATTGGATTTACGCCGTGGCGATGGATGTACTGGCTGAAGCGCCTGCATGAGATTCGGGACGAGGCACACGCCGCCCACGAGGAGCGCCTGGAAGAGCACGCTACTAATGCCATCGAGCGCATGATCAATAACGTCAAGGAACGCAACGCTGGAATCCTGCGAGCATATCAGAGCGGTGGGCCTGAGCTGCATCAGGATCCACATCTACTGTGCTTAGTTGCCTAACCCCGTGAACAATAACGCTAGACTGGGTTGGAACTCCAGCCTGTGTCGTAATGTAATGCAGGATATTCCCAAAGTGTGTTTGAACCCCAGGCTAATTTCGCCTTTACTATCTTCATCAATCGCTAGAAATCTACTCCATTGATGACGTCCCCTACCGCTTGCACGATCTCAGACCAGGAACTTCTAACGTCGACATCAAGGATCAGGACCAACGTTTTTGCGTTCCTTAGAGAAGATACCCAGGAGCCGAAAACGAGCGTAGTGCCAGCGGCGCGACTCTAGGACAACTGAAGATATTGCGAGTGCTAAAGCCAAGGGTGGTTCATACCACAGCCCTCCGCCTGCAACGCCTTGCCTTCGACATCTAGATTGGGGTGTCTGGGTGAGTCGCTGCATTCAACATGCAGTAACAATGTAACTTCTTCCGTGTAGGCCGAAAGTGAGTGTCGATTGAGAAGCAACGTAGTGTTGATGTACATCGCAAATGTGATCACACAATCTCGTTCAATGTGTAATTCCGTCTGACCACTTCACAACGCACTTCCCGTATTTTAAACGCTATAAAGCGTAGTGGTACTCCGTCGTTTCCTCCAAACAGCAAGTCAACATTCCCCATCAACGCATACAACAACAACAACACCATGCCCGATCAGCTGAATACAAAACCGTATCCAAGAGAACGTTACTTGACTGCCGAGGAGATAGAATTGAGGGCACAACATTCGATTGAAGAACAGTTGATCGAATCCCTCAACCTCGCCCGCAAGAGACGCAACCACCATTACCGTTATTTGGCTTCGAAGATTCGAAAATGTAACGAAGAGATTGCTGGATGGAAGACTCTTGTATCCGCAGTCAAGGAGCGCTTGCGGTCTGGAGTGATTGCTCTAGATGCAGGTTCGGCCGACAAGACCTTCTTAGGAAGCGTTGACGGCATAAAGGAAAGCGTTACTACTTACGAACATACGGTCGGAAAGATGAAAGTTATCGAAGAACGTCGCGCGTATTGGGTTGCTCAGATTCGCAAGTTCCAGGAGTTTGACGAAAAAATCAAAGGCATAGTTGCCAACATGTCAACATACTGCGGACCATCCTTGGAGGATAAGGACGATAATCTGTCGACATCTCACCCCAGCGAACCAATAACCGCAGCAAGTCCCACACCAGAAGGCCCTTCGTGCAAATGCACTGCATGCGAAGAATACCAACATATCGCGTACTTGTCTGACGTAGATCCTGGTGGTCTTGAGATGTTATAAATGTATAACGTCACCCGCTAAGAATGCCCATGCCACAAGTCTCATGCAAATTCGCCGCATGCAAATTCGAATCGAACTAAGCCCTCCCTACACACATTGTGCCGTACTGCAATATTGCCATGGTAGGAAATCCACCGACGGAGGGGTCAGAAAGCGCAAATCACACCTGTGTTACCCATGCACTCGGCTGTTCTGAGCTCTAGCACACACCAAATTGTATCCACACACTCACACTTAGATAGCAGATCCGAAGGGACTACATGAATTTGATACCCGATATTTCTTTTTTAATCTCTGGCATGAGTATCGCGTTGACCATGTTGCGTGGTGCTGATATCGATGCAGCTCGATAGGGGTATACCAACGATCGCTTGTCTCTCGAGAAGAGTAATCCGTAGACTTGCCGTTCCGCCATGAATCAACGGTAAAATGTGCCCTTGTTTGTTGATACATGCTTATTTGGTGACTGCTCTTTCTGATATGTGATATGTAGGTGATAGAACATCAGGGAAATGACCGATGCGAGGATGCGCATGTAAAGCGTGTGTCACCATGTTTACAGACTATATTCCGTTCAACGCTCTGGATTTTGCGAAGTTATGTGGCCCATGTCAAAGCAGGTCCGCCACATATCGGGCCCATTGGGGAAGGTGTCACGTCACTCAATATCAGGCTCTCATACGGATTAACGGGCTACAATAGCAAAAGTAAGTACCTCTGGTTGCTGTTGGCTTCCCGTGCTTCACAACTACTGATATTGATGACTTCATGCCCTTGGAATAAACACCACCTGGATTTCTAAACGTGTTTGTGGAAGCACTACGTTGATGTTTCCTCGTCTCCAACTCAAGTCCGGGGCGCCAGCAACGGCACCGCTATCGGCGAACTGCCCCATTTGTGGGACAAAAGCAAGTACTGTCTACAATGTGCGACGACGAAAGTGCAAGTCAGGATACGAGTCGGCAGTCCAAGGATCTGCCCTGGTATTGTTTGAGTGAGGATGCTTTCTGACCGTAGTATGTAGAACGAGACACACGGTGAATTATGAAAGAGCCAGGAAGTCTTCGTCCGAAAGTGTATCGTCGTGAAATTCATCGAGTTCCTCGTGGTGTCCCCCTGGGAGGGGTGACACGAAACCGGTGGATGTTGGTATCCCATCGCAGTGGACGGCATCGAGCGAGCATAACTGCTCAGTCATCGCCGGGGCTACGGACGGGGCGCCGACTACTATTTGACTGTCAGGGACGGGATATTCGTGATAGTCGATAAACTACTCACCCCTTGGATCTTCGACGAACGAGAATGTTGCGTATTGCTTTTTATTGGTGCCGACGTAGTCCCACTCATAGTAACTATTGGGTGTACTGCCCGTGTGAGTTGTGATATCTACACCAGAACATGCTGATACATACTGTTCCGATGTCGGAGTCTTCACCATACCTTGTGTACTTGTACTCATACAATATCCCACGAATGACGGTGTACAGCGTACCTGCACTTTTCCGTCCAGAGACTTGGAAGAGCAGGTAGACGCCAAGTCTGGGGTGCAGAGAACTTGAACGAAGGATGATGGGGTGCAGGGGACTTGCACTTCTGGCCCATTGCGACTGATGTCGTCTCTCGATGATATGACATTCGAGGATTGTTTGACCTCCACGACCAGGCGGCTGAAGCTCTCGAGATCAATTGTCTTGTCGCGAAAGGCCGTATCCATGAGTCGCCCTTTTGTCGCGTTAGCCTGATATGAAGATGGCGTTGGAAGGAGCATACCGATGCTCACGCGTTGTGACCAATCGAATGCGTAGCGTCGACCGAGACTATCGGTCTGACTGCTTGCGATCGAAAGATGGGAGCTTCCAGGATATGCATCGTAGGCGTGATTGCCATGTACGGTTTCGCGCTTGATTTCTCGCATCTCCAGAAGTAGAGACCTTTTACTACCCAATGCGGCAGGCATGGCCGGGGGTGGTTTGCGTATTGCAGTGCGTATGTGTGAAGTGACGTGGGTGCAGCTTGTATGATAAGCGCTTGCTGGGAAAAGACCGCTCGTGCAGTATCTTTGGTGTTGACAAAGGAATGAAGAAGCGGTTGTCGAATATCTGCCGAGCTCCTTCACACCAAGCGCGGTTTCAATCTTTCACTGCTGTAGGTTATCACTACAACTTTAGCAGATGCACCAAACCCCCGATACAAGCACATGTGAAGTACGTATGCCAGATCCATCAGCGGATGGATAACTCATGTTGCAGTCAACTGAAAGCTTGAAGCGAATAATTATCAGAGATATAGAGAAAAGCTAACGCGCCCGTATCGAAGCATCAGAAAAATGGGAAATTAGAAGCAGAATATGAGACGAAACGAGCCAGCCCTGTAGCCGAAGTCCAGGAGTTTCGTTATAACTCGTCTTGACGTGCGACGAGGTCGAAACTAGGATATACTGTTCTACTGAAGCCAATGACGGATGAACGCCAGTCGCTTCCACTGGAGCTATTATCATTTCCACGAATCAACTGCAAACAGTCCGCAGAGCTCCAAAGCAGCGTGCGTAGCACAAGGCTTCCGGCGCGAGGAAGTGGAATACGGCCAGGGCTGGGAGCGAGTTGTTACATCGATGGTATGACTACGTTCGTCGGTTAGTATAATTGAATTCGATTGCTTGATCGGGTTGTACGAGCATAGCAGATCTGCTGATACGGTCAGCCACTGTAGCATAGCCTTAATTGTGATCCGTGGAGGCCTGTGATATAGGAATTACTGGCCAGCGAACTTGTACATGATGTGCCGATATCACAATGCGGATACTCCATATCGATCGTCGGGTGGATGTGTATAGTGTGCGCAGTACAGGTAAACATCTTCATCCAGAGGACGGCTGGTAGCCAAGCGAAGGATGAGCTATCGCGGAACTAACCAACAGGTCCAACAACCAGCAACATTAATGTTCGGCTCCGATGGTTTGATCGTCGCCGCCGAAGAGTGTTCGCTGATCTCATGAATCCCGAAGGTGATTGACTGGCCGACATGAAATGAATGTTCGCGATTTCCACAAGGGGCGCAGAAACGTCAGCGACTGGATCGCGGCGGCACCCGACATCCACAAGTAGGATCTTTCCTCATCAGACTGGCAGTTGCTGGACACTTGCGAAACGAGTGCAGATGATGCACGATTGAAAGGCTCGCTGGAGAAGACGAGACGGAAGTGGTGTTGCCGTGGTCAGATCCGCACAGCCAATAGGGAGATGCCAAGCCCGCGGTGGCCCGACGTCATCCCCGGAGATTCGACCTGGAGATGCTCACCACAACTTCTCCAACCACATCACTAGAACCGCGCTCATCGGACTCTGATCTGGGTTCTCGCATTGTCCTATTATCACTGTCATCAACACGTACCTCATCACCCTTCTTTGCGCAAATTGGGACGCGCAGGGCTGAACCAGCTCGAGGCGGCGGGTATCCAGCTCTTGCGCGCCAGTCGCAAACGTGCGAAGAGTCCATTCACATCTCCGCGCACAACAGTTTACGCAGGAGTCAGCGCTGCGCTTGATTCGGCGGCACCGACTTATACTCACAATGATCCCGAATATCGGAACAACAGCACCAGCGAGGACTTCGACCGGGGCTGTAGTAGAATCTACTGTAGGCTTCATGTAACGAGAACTGGCTCCTCGGGCTCATCGCCAGGTCTTCACACGTTTCAGCACTCGGACCCGCTATATCAGAGTGACGAAAGCTCATTTGGCGCACCACAGGCTGCGTTGGACAACTGCACAACACCCTGCCGACAAAAGGGAGTCGCCATACGAACGAGCGCTGACTTCCAGATGCAACTCGTTGGCTCTTCGCTGGCATTCCACTCTCCTGTGGAATCTACGCCTCTCATCAAGCATCGACGTCAACCGGTCGGACCACCTCAAGCCCACGCCCCGCATCTACTTTCCGAAACGCGAACGAGTGCATGAGCCGTCCTGAAGCGCAGCTCGCATTTGTCGCTGCTTCTAGGCATCCCAACTGAAGAGACTACACCGCACCAAGAAAGCTGACACGGTCGTACTCCAACAGCATGAAGCGGACTTTGCCGGAGCGCGGACACAGGATGCGCAACGCCTCGGGAAAGGCCTGACTCAAGGAGATGGCACCTTGCTTGGCTGGTAAGTTACCCCGCCGTCTCTCTCCGAAGTCATATACTAACCATGCTGTTTGGCGCAGCTCTCAGCTCTCCTCATCCTCTCTCTTTCGCATGGAACGCTATCGAAGGCGATGCGACCGCAAACCACGAACACCGCCATGTCTCCACCCTCTGCGAATCATCAGGCTCCTCTTCGTCATGACGCAAAGCTAGACAGGTTGCGATATCGATTGCGACGCTCGAATGTAACGGGTGCAAGGACAAAAATCAGAGGAATCCTGGAGGACTTGCGGTTGTAGCTGCGACTTGGGCTGTCGCATGGTGCTGGCCATCGCTCGGAGGTCGAATGCAGGTTGGATTACCCTCCCGCTCCTGGGCATATCACGCCGAAGCCCGGCCACCGCTTTCCGAAACGTGGACGAGGCCCTCCGGTATAAGGGTGCATTGCGCCACGCTCAGCTCGGCCATAGTCTCCAAGAATGCATCTACAGCGCGACTTCGGGCTCATCAAGTAGGCGTAGACGGCAGGTCAGGAAGTGGTGAAACTCGGCACGCACGAGGTAGTTTGAGTAGGCCTTCTTGCTCTACTGTGTCGTCTTTATGGCTTTGCAGCAGCTATTGCGCGTTCGTCATGAACCACAACTTACCGAATATGAATGCAGGATCAGGTTCTCCATCAATCGGCAGCTCCATGTCTGCTGTGCGATAGCCGTCAACCATGTTTACGTTCAGTCTGAATCTACCGAAAAATATCACACTATAGGGAGTGTAGCCATTCGACCATCAATTAGTATTTGTTACGACGTCTACTTCATATCAATGAGCCACCCATCCGAAACTCCAATGCAGCTTGACGACTCCCGCGAAACTCTCGACTCATTCCTGCAATTCTGTCATCGACCAAGCTGTCCTTCCCTGGCACGATCGTCCAGCCAGGCATGCGCAAACCTCACGCGATATACCAAACGCGACTAACCTCTGTTTGCTTCCTTCAAATCGAACGTGTGCTCGTACTTGGTCTTGTTCGTCAAAGCATGACGAGTTTGGATGGACAAGCTGAGTAGACACATTACGAGGATTTATTAGGCACATCATGCTGTGATTATCTACTGCCAAAAGTCAGTTCTGGGCGCTGTACTCTTTTGTATTCTTTCCAGCATCGATCACACCTCAAATGGCTCAGCGGCCAAGATGCCATCGATGGCGTAGAACTTTAGTTCAGGATGCATCTACATATTTTAATATGCTCATACCTTGCTGCATGTTGTTACTTCTGTGTGTTAGAGCTGCCCTATTTCTACAGTTCTAAATTCATATCACCACGCACTATGCGGTCGTCTTTAACTCGCATGAGCGGGGACCACTGCACAGCTTTCAGGAGACATTATGTAGGGAGATCTCATGTTAGTACGCCAAATCGTGCATTGATGTACTTCAAAACTAGAAGGCACAGCTTCTGCCCGGATAAGATCGCTTAAAAGTCAGCCATGATCGTTGCTGGAAGTCGGCACAGGATCCACGTGACAACGCGACAAGCGATAAGCGGGGCCAATCGCGCGACGTCACTTGCTCCTTGCTCACCACTTGGGCACCTGTGCAGTCCCATCCGATGCATCATAAAGTCGTTATCTCATCAATTCGCAACATTGCCGCCTTGCGAAACCCTCAACTCGTCGCGATTAATCCAACAGGTGCATCGCCCATGCCGAAACTGGTATGATACGGTCGTCGTTCTGTGCAGCCGTGCCGGCACCCTCGTAGGGGCATCATCGACATGACCACCACCAGTGTAAGAAGGTATAAGATACCTCCAATGCACCATCACTGACCATGAGTAGGACCTCAAGTTGATAACTGATATCAAAATCACTTTCCTCTCACTTTATATCTCCGCATCGATATTCTCCAAGACGAACCACACGCCAGCCACCGGAATTCACGACTTCAACCTCAAGCCCGACATCCCTTGGCGCACGCTCGCACGCGCAATCGGGACGAGCCCGACTATATACTACGCCGGCTGAGGATGAGGAGGAGAAGCCAGTGGAGCTTTCAAGGGATGCGGAGCCGCAGGATTGGCCCGGAGTGCTGAGAAGTCTGGAACGCTGGACCACATCGCGCCTTGGTGGAACGCCGTCGTAGGCTGGATATGGATGATGTTGGGGTCTGTATGCATCATAACGGACGCGCATCTCCAGTCTCCCCTGCATGGCGCCTGTTCGAGTAGCCATCGGGTATCTAGTGACATCCCATTCCGACGGCACGAGGCAGGTCACTGTCTGGATCTCCCACTTCGCCATGCTAACAACGACAGGGTTACGCTCTTCTAGATCGCGACGCAGCTGAGCTCGATTAGCTACCAATACCGCGCCCGTGTCATAACCACCCACACCTCAATGGATGCCCGACGGACGAGACGACGCAAATTCCAACGTACACAGCGTCACTATACACACGGGAAGGGGCGGAGTGTGACTGCGGCCTAGCTATGTGCTGTACCATAAGAATATGGCTGGACTTCACGCGGAGTGAGAAGGTCTTTTCACGATGAGCTGTTCAGGTCGGACCGTGGCTCCAGATCAGCGCAAGAGGGCGGTAGTCTCTTGCAAGATAACCGGGACGCAACACTCATCGTCATGGCGCATTCGAATTAAGTTTCGGCGTGGTTATGCCATCGCGCAATGGTACATTAAACACTATTTCTGAGACGCCCCGACCATCCAATCGACTCCAAGTGAAGGCGCACTCAACTTGTCTTATGCAAAGCTTCAGGGATAGAGCCGACGCCCCTGCTCCCGCAAACCTTTCATCCCCTTTACGCATACAACTTGATCCCCTCCAGGTTCACGTCCACTACCCGATCGGCGCACAGCGAGTCGAACAATTTCTCCCTCATATATTTGAGGACCTGCTTTGCTTCCAGAGGAGAGAACTGCTTCTCGACTGAAAGGGTGTTGTTGATGACTCTGAGGACTTTGTCGAACGGTATCTGTCGCGCCTTCGGTTTCGTAGTCGCGAACAACGTGTACAGACCTGTGCGAAAAGCCCTGTAGCGCCCTAGTTTGACCAAGCACTTTCTCCGCGGAGACTTATACCTATCGATGGGGGAAGAAGGCTCCGTGTCCGAAGCTTGCTCGTCATCTTCGCTGGTAATCTCGATGGGGCTGCTGCCGCGCGAAGCGCCGGAAGGCACGTCTTCATTCAGCTCGGCGCCTTCGGGTGTAGATGTGGGAAGAGACGGAACTTCGGTTTCGCGATTTTGATCGATCATGGAGAGAGGCGTAAACGCTCTTACGAGACTTTGTTGACTCTTTGCGTCGTTGTTGACCGAAACCGAGCTCTTTTGATGCTGGGCGACCCCGATGTCATCATCGCCATCGTCGTCGATGCAGATGGGCGCGGCTTGCGTACCCTCAGCAAGATTATCGAGAGTTACTCGCGACTTCAGAGAGGTCGGCGTGATACGAAGCTGGCCATTAGTCCGGAAGCCAGCGGTCTTCTTTCCCTTCGGCACCACGGACGGCGCTGCCTGCATTTACATCAGCTCCATGCTACCGGTAATGCTCATGTCCTTGACACATGGTACTCACTTTCTTAGGCAGTGGACGATTCTTCGTCTGACCGTTACGACTGCGTGGCGCCCCGTGTGCAGGTCGCGCACCGGGTGTGCTCTTCTCCTTACTGCCCTTTGAAGATCCAGCCGCAGCTTTCGCATTCGGCAACAAGGACTATGTCGTCGATCAGTACATCTTCAAAGCTGATGAAGCCGCCTACATACCGGTTTTCGGATTCTGAACCCGTACTTGCTCTACATAACCTGTTAGCATTGAGTGGACTAATGGCGAACGAGGGGTCAACGTACCAGCGCCATGCTGACTGATGGGATATATCAAGCAACGATACTCTTGATTCTAATCGCAAGAGAAAGGACAACGAAAGAATTTGCTGGAACGCCATTTTATTGTGGAAGTGAACGCGCCAAGCAGAGATACCCCTGCTGTCGCCCCGGGTGGAAAGGCCGCAGGAAAAGTGAACGTGGGTCGGACTCGCAGGGCGAAAGGGAGAGCGCAAGGTGAAGAGTAATGTTCGGATGACCTAGAGCGACGGCCTTAAGATACTCCACACAGTTATAATACTGTCAATACCGCCCGACATATGAACTGCACGCTCGCGTGCACGGGGTAATGATAAAGGAGGTATGCAGTGTTCTCAGTATGTCAAACGGTTGGCGTGGAAGTCATAGTGGATCACTTCCGCACATTTGTTCAAGAGAAGCGTTCTTGGAGCGGTGACTGTGGTTTCCTCTGGAGCGAGAAAGCGCGCACGGATCAAGGTGCGGAGATTGGTATAGCGAGAGAGGGAGAAGAGGGAAACACCGGTGGGGCAAATCATGAGCGCCTAGGAGTCAAATTTGTTTAGGCAACAAGTCTATACGCACCATCCACGGCGACACGGCTCTGCGCTGTGATTCCTTAGCACGCGTCCTTATTGCGAATCACGTACTACGACCTCACGATCGACAGGCCAAATTCGCTCACGCAAATCATGACGTCCAAAACCTTGGAGCTCTCGGATATCTTCGAGAGTGCATGGGAGACTATCTGTGCGTCGCTTCCAAGGCTCCTGTTAGTAAAGAATGGAGGAAAGGGCACGACAAAGAGCAGCATGCGCCACATGTTCGAGGGTCATTTGGGGGAGTGGAACATCCAAGACGAGCTGGAGGACTTCTTAGCTGCTATCAAGCCAAGGTGAGTAGTAACCCTATATGAGCAGCATTGGGGACAAATACTGACCATCTACACCCGCGTATAGTTTCGATAACTGCCCAGCCATGACGAACGTGAACACTCCGGTGATTCTCGTATATCATCCAGACTTCGTCGCAGACGAGGGGGTTACAATGGCGGCTGAAATCGACGTCGATGGGCGCATCAAGCAAAATCTGGCAACGCCAGTGCGAACGGTTTTACATGCGCTTGCAAGATGCAGATCCGAAGCCGATGCAATGCTCCTGCCCATTCACATTGAATGCTCCAGGTAAGCCCACTGCGCGACATGCATGTGAAACATTCACTGACGTTGTACCCGCCGGTTCCCAGCTCTAAAGGTGAGGATGTCAAATCACGCCCGAAAGACCAGGAGCCCGACCTCATCCTCAATGTTTCCGACTCGAACGGCGGCGATGAGACAGTGCGCATCATAGGAGAATTCAAGATGTGCACGACTCATAATCTAGCCAAGATGATCAAGGATCCCGCCTCTAAAAACCCAGGATCGTTGCGCAACCTTCTTGGTGAGTTATGACATGTCTCTGCGAGTCCGCACAGCATTGCCACACCAAGCATTGAACGTCCTCGATCGCGCTAACTCCCCATCACAGGGCAGCCCGCCAAGTATATGTACAAACACAAGATCAAGTACGGCTTCGTCTCGACTTACAATGAGACCATCTTTCTCAGGATCGAACCGCGCAAATCCAATCCGGAAGAGTATGGTCTTTATTACTCGCCCGTCTTCCGCTACGATACCCCGACTTGTGTGGACGAGGGGAACAACGTACACACATTCGGTACCCGCTTCACAACTCTCTTTATGTTACACAAGGTCGTCGATGATGGAGGTGAAGGCTGGAGGTTGAAAGCGAGCGATATTCCGAAGCAAGATGATTGGTACTCTCGGACGGTTGCTGCCAACACTCCCTCAGCAGCTGTAGGGTCGCCCTACCTCGGCAAAACACCACTCTTACCCTCCGAATCACCACCCTTACCCTCCAAATCACCACCCTTACCCTCCAAATCCATGATTCGGCGACTGCGTTCCAGGAATCAGCTCTCAAACGTTCTGACACCTATCAAAGAATCGCCCATGAAAGCTGCGAATGCGATCAAAAAGACGGTAAAAGGACTGAAAGACAACTTGAAGCGGTCCAGGGCACAGAACACAAAGAATAGCCCGTCACCAAAGCCCAGGTCTCCGCGCAAGGTCAGCTGGGCAAAGACTCCTCCCCAAAGTGCCGAGAACTCCGAGGTTACAGAGTCAGCGCGCAGTCTTGAGGTGGCTGATATCGACGATGGCGATGATAGCGAATACATCGACGATGGTTTTGACCCGTCTGACGATACTGATGGACCTGATGAGTTTGATGAAGCGGGAGCGCAGGCTGAGAACCTTGTTCAGCTGCGTAGACTGGACCCGAGTACACCAACGCCAATGAGTAGAAGGTGAAGAGTTTATCATAGCTGAGCCAAGTAAGGCAGCTATGAATAATTTTCGGGCATGGAGAAGCGGTTAGAGATGCCCCAGCTATATGCAGAGTTGGAAGTCAGCACGGGCGCAGTAGGTGACACTGACCTGGGATATCGTAGTCAGCTTTGGAACATTGAACGACGGTTCGTTGAAAAGGGTTGGTAATACTTTGCATTCTTCAGAGCTCTCTCTTCGTATCGATGTATGTGAACAGATCTTAGGAGATCTTAGTGGTGTATACCCAACAGTACATCTAAGAGGCTCAACGTATAGGCAGCGGAGCGACGGAGTTCATGAGTAGATCTGATCGGCTCTCGTGTGCATGAATGGCACCTGGGCACTTACGAGACTCGCTGTTCTGGCTTACTCAATTGCGGCCCTCCATGATGATTACTAATTGGTTCTTAAGGGGAGTAATACCTTTCTCGAGACTGCAATAATAACTCTTTGTTTAACACATTCAATATCAACTGCGAGACGTCTCGACTCCAGGCTCGAAAGCGGAGCCTTGAATTGGCCAATGATCACTGATCCATGATGGCGCTAAGTCGGACTGAGCTAGTACCAGAGTTAGCGCATTTCCGACTGGAGCACAGGTAGTCGGCCGGTGCAACAACACACTGAAGCCCTAACATCGATCCACCTCCGCATCATTGTACACGCTGCAGTATTCTCCGTTCATATCTCTCCAGGATGACCTCTCGTCCCATCTCCAACACTTCGAGCTCCTCCAGCGACTCTCACAAGCCCGAGAGTGATGTTGCCCCCAGTCATGCGAAAGCCCGCAAGCCAAGGCCGTCACCCAAGTGGCTGCGCGACAATCCATACGTCGGCAAAATCTTCCGCACCACCAAGGATGCGCGATGGAAGATACTCGCACCGCTATCAACGCTGGAGTTCCAGGATGACCACAGTCCCTGCGAAGCGCGCCAGGTCTACACATGTGTCTGCCTAGATGAGCCCTGGAAAGCCATCGGCGAGTGTGTAGTCAAAGTCAAGTTCCAGTAAGTAACAATCCTTAATCTCCTAGACATGTTAGTAACAGTATCAGAATTCGCGCGAGTAGGCGTACAGTTGAGGAGTACCAGGAAATGATCGATGATGGCGAGGCGGAGCTACGTGATCAAAACGACACCAGAGGCACCAGATTGCCTGCATACAAGGATCACCTCAAGCTGTGCACCACACCTACCACTTCACTCTCGAGTCCCGCGACAAGAAATGAGATAGAAGCTCTTGACCGTCTTGGGCATGAAAAATGTCAGCATTCTCCCTGGCTCTGTGGTACGTCTGAAGGCACGGTGCGCCCGGGTTTCCATTATGAAGCCATAGATGGAGGCTATCGTGTCCTTATGCTCATGAACAAGTTGCCTGGGGTGACTTTGTCAATGGACATGTTCTGTGAGATGGCTCTTGAGAAGAGGAAGGTTGTCCGAGAAGCCTTCAAAGTGGCATGGCTGTAAGTTTTCCTCTACCAACCCCGGGCCTATCGTGCTGACTTTTTAACAGTGCCGTGGTGAAATGTGGGGTTGTGCCAATCGATCGTGGCCTGCACAATATCATGTGGGATCAGGAGACTTGCAAGTGGTAAGTAGGCTCCCTGTTTTCCTTGAATAAAACGCTAACGCTCGCATTGTAGTTACCTTGTTGACTTCGAAGAAGTTGACAAGCTTCGCGCGAACGAAATGAGCGCTCCCAGCCTAGAGGATGACGAGCTGGACATGTGGATACCTAATGAAGATGAAGTCGCAGAGTATTTGGCGTACTAGGATGATCGACCTTCTTGCGTTGGTCAGTGGTCGACTGGGGGAGCGCCCGTGGTAAACGGGGTCAGACATCGGGCCGTTGTTCAAGGAGCTTGGTCTTCAGCACATATATTTGATCGCGATAAATACTCACGTGTGTAAGCTGATCCATACAATTTCGATCGCATAAAGACACTGCCCGAAAACGCATCTGTGATGAACTCATGAAGTTCGAAATCGCCGCGGAAGTCTTCCTTTTCGGGTGCTAGCGCGGCCGAGAAAGCCCCGAGCCCAAGGCTGATTGAACGCCGCGTCACCCCCTCGCCTTCTCCTTCGCAACTTCCAGCACTTCCCTGGCTAAGAAATTCCGCCCTCAGCGACTCGTTGTGAGCCACCAACCGACACTGCAACTGCTCTGATGTGCTGAATCCAGTCATGCCTTCTCGGACAGACATCAGTCGTCGATGACCTTCGTACCTAGTTGGCTTCAACACGTCAGCGCGAAACCCGACTTCGCCCGCATAGCCATCGCCACACACTTTGGGTGTCGAGATCTTCCTCCGAAGTGGCTGTATCATGATGGGTGTTTGTGCGTGGTACTGTCATCTCCACAATGCCAGTTACCCATGATGTGCCTCATCGAAATCACCACGAAAAGTGCAACTATGCTATGGAGATTAAGGCGAACGCAACGAACTTCGGAGATTATACATCATGAGACGCGAGGTCGTAGCAGTGAACGGCACATGTATACCTAAGTTTATTCCCCGTCTCATCTCTTCAATCGTCACATCCTGTCTTCCTTGTCCTCCAGCCTGCTTATTACGCAGTACAACAATGCCCTATGAACGATGAGCTACATGGCATTTGTGCAACAGGGTACTTGATGTCGCCAACATCTGCATCGTATTTCGCTCCATACACTCAACTGAACTTAGACAGGTGAATCCTCACTAAGATAATGTGTGCATTGACTTGCAAAACAAGCGACAAGCATTGGGGCCAACCTTGAGAAAAGACGAGAGGAGCGACACCAAAACCACATACAAACGACGTTGAACAAGAAGCCACAAAAGAAGCATCCACCAGTGCACCATACCCGACGATGAGCGAGAAACCATACCTTCTCCTACCGACTCCGACGTCCTCCCTTCTCCGTACAGCCAGAGCCCGTCTTTCATGGCTGCAGCATGTTTACGACCCCTCGCGCCTTCGGTCGAACTCGTCAACGCAATGCATAATTGCAGCGACACCCAGCTCGGCGCACGAGAAGATCGCCCTTTCCTTCTTCCAAAGGCGCTCGTCCATCCTTTTCGTCTTTCCAACCTTATGCGAGATGTGGAAATTATGGAAGTACCCGCATATCTGACAAGGCAAGCGGGCCTTGATGTTATTGTTGAAAGCGATACCAGGACTAAGAGATGGAGGAGCCTTTTTGTACGGTGACTTGGTACCTTGCGGAATGTCATGGGCCTTGAAGTTGTTGATGAGGTCTTGTTTGGCGCTCTGCATAGCAGGTAGGTGAGCGAAAGACTTTGCAAGGCCATCCCGGCGTTTTTTTAGCAATGCTTGTTGGCCCTCATGATTCCACCCCATGAACGTGGAGCGGACGGTGACCCAGTGCAGTCCTCGCTTTGGCTCGGCGACCTTAGATGGAAAGATAACATAAGAACAAATGGGAAGGACTCTCCTTCCTAGGCCAAGGTCTTGTAACGTCTCCTTAAACGACCCAACTAGGTTCAGTGTTAGCCAGTGTTCTTCGAAGGGTGCTATGGCGAACTTACGAAATACCTTGAATTGTTCCGGTGTCTCTGGATAAATACCGGGTTCAGCATGTACGTTTTCGGCATGTACAGTTTGAGCAACAAGTTCGAGGGCAATCTCCGAAGGCGATGCTCGCACCTCATGCCAATGAGCCACACTTCGAAGGCGGATCTCTCTTGGTAATAGCTTTCGGAGCGAGTTGATTACCTCCCGTAGCGCTTGCATCGTCGCATTCATTTTCGGCACATCTTTCTTGAACATGGCTTTGGCCCTGAGACTGACAAACCTCGGATGGAGTAGTCCATACGTTTGCCATCGAAGCGCTCTAGTCACGTCGTCAATGTATGGGTACCACTGTCTTCCAACGCTGGAATTCGGGTCGCTTTTGGCCCATTCGGCGTTGAGATGAGTGGTAGATGGCGATAGATCTAGATGGCCCTTCTCTTTTACGAGCGTCTGGATGGCCCTCCCAACTGAAAGAAGCGTATGTGCGTCTCGCGTGAATGTTCCCGCACTGTCTTTTGGATCGTGTGGAATTGAATCGAGGTTGACCCTCGCCGTCCATGATGGCAGATCCCGCACAGCATCAATACCAAGACTTGCTCTGCACTTGCATGGTATGCGGTCATTTGTAGTATTGTTGCCCGGAAAAAATTGATCCAAATGTACTGAGGCGATACGTTCACAAACTGGACATACTGCTCTGCCAGTAGGGTGTATGAAAGGTACAATAGGTTTAGGATGCAGCGAGGACAAAGGGCAATCGGGAGATAGAGCAACGATTGGGGGCGTTGGAAGTGTAGATTTGCATCTGATAGCAGGCAATGAGCGATATGGTCGATAGGGTAGCAGCATTGATGCGCAGTATCTTCGATGGATTGATACAGAATTCAATCTTTGCATGAGCGCCATTGGCAATAAACTTATCGTGAACCGTTCAAGATGCGTATACAACCCAACTCTCTGCTACAGGTACTTTGTTGTGACCCAAATACCTGATACCGCTTGCTACACCTGCCATTGGCTCTTTGATGAGCTCTGGCGAGAAGCAACTTGCGCTGTCGATTTGCGACGTTGGAACTGCGTCGAATCGACATGCTTGCTGCGCGTCTTGTCTGGAAGCATTCCTTGTGCCAGTGCTAGACCCGCTTGCGCTCAGCATGATTGCCCTCGTCAGATCTGAAAGCATTCTTTGGGCCACGATTGGCTCTTCTTGAGTTTGACATGTTGACACACTCGCGTCGGTGGAAGGTATCTTTGTTCGTGTTTCGTTTGGTACCGCTTTGTTTAGCATGTTTGTGAGGTTACTATTGCGAGATTATGTTTGCACTGGAGCTTTCTTTGCCTGGTTCTAAACATTTGTGCATTCATTCAAAAAGATATGCAGACTGGTGTCGACATTGCTCAGTTGTTGTGGAGAAACCCGCAGGTTGTGGCGGCGTTTGTCACCGTCTTGCCACTAGGATAGAGTGCGCAATCATCTAAGTTGTGTGTTGTAGACTCAACAGTCTGGTGAATTTGCTTCCACAATCGTTCGCCGCTTTGACGTAGTCGCACAGGAACCATGTTTGGTGTTGCAGCCGCTATGCATAGCACAATGAATTTCTCCGCTCGGAAGCCTGGGCAGATCAGTTTGTCCAAAATGGTCTACTAGTTGATCAACATCCGTGCGAAATGACTTCACTACCGAGATTTTAACAATAATATCGCGACGTTGATAATTTGGGCGTGACCTTTGCTATCACAGTCAACGCGCTAGACCCTCGCTAGTCTCACCTCTAGCCTATCAAAACCCCTCTTACCCCGGGCACCTGCCTGCCTCTACTAGTGCCTGCGTACCTCATCTACCTGGGTATTAAACCTCAACTTACCACAACAATCTTCGCGCTCATGGCATTCTCCCGTCTTCTTCGGCGTGCAACACCTCTCTCACTCCCCGCCCGCCTTCTCAACCATCATCGAATGTCGACGAACAAAAAGGCACGTCCACACCTGCGTACGCTAGGTTTTGGCAGGATGGCTGACACGAACGAGAAAGCGCGTCACGTTGGGGCCCAACAATATGCAGATTTCTCGAGGTGGCGAGCTAGCAACGACAAGCACGCGCTTCCTTTCAAGCAACAAATTTGCGAGTTCTTTAAGGTCGATGTAAGAACTACGGTGTATGCGCTACTTTGAAGAAACTTACTGACTTCTTGTGTCAACACCTCAGATTGAAGATGAACAGAAATTTGGCGACATCTTGGACGAATACATGAAGAGATGGGATGAATATGCGGAACTACGGATGTCTCAGTCGGGCGGAGAGACCGATCTGGATAAAGTGCTTCGCATGAACTTCAACCAGGAGTCGACAGTCACTCGTATGCGGGATGTTGAAATGCAGCTATCCAGCCGACACACCTACGGCATGGGCCGCGACAAGAACGTTCATCTTTATCTAGAGGTTCTTCCAGCCGAGCTCACCGCTCATTACGCCCCTCCAGCTATCAGCGAGATCAATCATTACTCCAACGCGGTCTCCACCCCGTTCATATACGCCAAGCATCATCTGGGAAAGCGACACGGCAGTGACGATGTCGCCCAACCCCCACAGTCTGGAGGATCGTTTGGACCCTTGAAACAAACGAAGTGGATGCGGTTCGAAGCTGACCCGAATGCAGCCGGGAACGCGCAATCCCCAAACCTGTACAAGTCGAAGTTGGTACACATCGGGATCATCAACGCCGAGGAGCACACCAAGGACCGCGGCATCAACACGCAACAAACACCATACGCCGCCGTAGGGCAGGTTGGAGATAACGGTTTCATCAGTGGGATCTACGCCATCCCTCTGGATCTGAAGGACGACGAAGAAGAAAACGAAATGTCGCCGTCGAGGTGGTACGATCTAAACGACCTGTGGAAGCCAGACACGGTTGGTGTCTACTATCTCGGCAAAACGCTCGAAGAGTGCAGGAACAACAAGTGGGAGTTGGTGTCTGACGGCCCGATCGAAGTCATCCACAAACCGGAGGACGAGTAGTGAGTGGACTATCCGGCCTTTGTTGCATGGAGCGTGAAGAAGACGTGCTAACCTCCATCAGAGATGTGGCTATGGTGTCGAGGATGTAGTCTTATGGGACTGGTGTTGCTTGGTCTTCAGTCCTGTCGTGAGGCGATGTCGGAGTCTGGCGAGGTCAAAAGGCTTGATACTTTTTTGTTCTTCTCGCACGACCTATCACTACTAGGCACCACTCCAAGCTGGCTGTACATGTTGCGGTCAGCGTTGTCGAGTTGGTGATGGTGGCTTCAAGCGGTAGCGAGAAGGTGATGACTTTGATGCGCGCGATGGTTTTAGGCATGTAAGCATGGACTCCAGTAATGAACAGCTCACCCAATCTTGTCCGTCGTGCGTTGGTCCTGGGTAGGTGTAGCGAGATGTCCCAGTGCTGCATGCCTTGTCAGCGCCAGTCAAGCTTTGGGTGTTACCTCGGTCTATGGGAAAGGTAGGTGTATCTTCCAGCCAATTGTGATCTCGCTAGTTTGGTCGCTTGAGCTGGTGATGTATCTCCCTGGAAGAGATATTGCCTGATGTGAGACGTATGACTTTTGAAGGCGTGGGTTGTACATTGTCCTTGTGACGTTGTCGGCACTGGTCCAAAGGATAGCCATGTTCAGTAGGATACACTAACGAATGGAAGTCCAACATCCACATGGTTCGTTTTGCTGATGATGCACGCATTGTAAGAGTGACTTCATGCAGGCATCAAGTCACATTGGTAGAGGAGAAGTGTCGATATAGGCAGACGCGGGCTTGCCATCGCGACCAGTCCTCTGCGGAATAGATGGGTATAAGCCATTGCGATACTCAGCTGCTAAGGCGCGCACGTTGAGCGGATATGACGCGCAGTCGTCTCCTGCCCTCACCGAGCGGCGGGCACCTTCATGCCGGAATGGTCTTTCCAGAACGAGGTAGCCGGGCCCAACTAGATCTGTTAATGTTGTCATCGCGTCGCGCCTATACTGATGAGCTGTATTTGAGTTGGAAGATCTTGCGTAAGGGAAGAAGATGCGCGTGTTGATGAATGTTACGAGTTTTGACGCGGCTGGCGATCCCAACACGGAGCTATCGCGACATGACCACTCCCGCGGCGCTCTCTTGAGCGCTATTGGCGGAGGCGCGAGTCAGCCCGGGAACTTCACAACCCATCACCTACGGGGTCTGACTTTTCCCACAGCCGCCATGCCTTCTCAATCAACGATTTCGGACCAGAATGAGCTTTTTTGTAGAAGTGATGTAGCACCCTCTAGATCTCTGATCAAGATATTGGCATGAATCTTGTCCGGTGTCTGGCGATAGGAGAAGCACCACGTCGCATGTATGAGTTTTTGCACTTGTGCCGGCGATGCATGGAGTGCGGCACATCGCGATGGTGTAAAGACCGTGTTCACAAAGCTTGGACTTGTTCGTGTTAAGACGGAATCAGCCTGATGAGCGGTAGCAAGACTGCACCACGTGTGGCGTGCTGCCGCGCTCCTTCCCTCCAACCTTCAACACACCAGGCGGGCAATGAACTTCTCACTGCCACCATTAAGTTTACCCGGGCAGAACGACATCCTTGATTTTTTAGAAGCCTTCCTCCCTTGGAATTCAGCCGGAAGTATACTTGAAGTTGACGCATACATCCCGTCCCGGAACCGATAACTCACGTGTAGAAAGGCAGACATGACACGAACCGACCACGAAGTATTGGATTAAGATAATGCTATGATGAGTACTTCTACTACTATCTGTTGCCTATATCTGACTCAGGAAGTTTCAACCTCGTCATCAAGGACAAGAACGGGTCATCACATCGCAGATGCACCACGGCGAAGATGAATGATTGACAGATAATGTCAAGCAAGGTTGTCATTAACTTATTAGATATACATAGATATGGATGGGTATCATCGTGGTAGTCATTATTCGTGTCTTCGTCTTCCGTCCGTCTTCTAGTATGATCCAATCTGCGCACCGGGCGGGGCCTCGATATCGATACGACCATGAGCCTGCGTCTCAGGGAGCCTGAGACTGGAAAGTCCAAGAACATCAGGCATGGCAAGGTCGGGAATGCCAGGATAGCCGGCGAGTCTGCGCTGCGTAACCCCCCACCTTGAATCTGTCCTTTCCGATCCCGAGTCCGTCCTTCCTCCTAACATGATCAAAGACGTTGTAACGCGGCCCTGCGCTCCTCTTAGCTTTCTTCTTTTCTTTGCCCTTGCCCTTCTTCTGTTTGTCTTGACCCTCTCTCTCCCAACCACATGTCGTCATCGTCTTGCACTGCCCTCTTCATCACGTTCTGCTTCTCTTTATCCTTTGAATTTCTCCTTCTTCTTTGCCGGCACAGCTGGCGTGGCTGGAAGTGCCGGGGCGCGGGCGGCGTTGATGGTAAAAAGACCGGGCTCGGGGGAGGCCTCGGGTGCAGTATCGACGTCCATCTCCTCATGCTCAGGCTGCGCATGGCTAGCCTCATACTCCGCGATCGAGACATCCCCTATCACGCTCGCATTCCGCCAGGTCGGCAGCCACTTATTGCCGTTCTCGTCTAGCCCAGCCCATCGCACACGATACTCCGGTTCGTCGGAGTTCTCTGGGCATCTTCTGTGTGTGAGGCAGTCGACTTCGTAGGTTTCTTTGGTGTGACCCGCCGGGATTCGAAGCTTCGCGCGAGTGCGAGAAGTGCGCGGCTCATAGAAGTTTATGCCACGAGCGGCTGAGTGGTGGGACAAGCGGCGCGTGTGCGCGGTGGAGTTGTCACCTACACGACGTTAGTACGACGATCAGGTACAACGCGGATGGCGGTAGCGGGTCAGAGCAAGGGTCCTACCGTCGCGTGTCATGGTGGCGGGGTAGCGTGGGCGCTACGTTGCTGGTGTGGCCGAGAGAGATCGCGGTTGGGCCGGAGATTTGCCTGTGTGCGCTAGCCGAGCCTACGTCAGATGGTGAGGATGCGCAGCACTTTCTTCCAACGACGAGACCGGCAAACGCGAAAGCAGCATGTATTTTATCGCAGCAGGCATGAGAATGACGACCCATGTACAGATTCCCACCTTCATCCAGAACGGAAAAGACTGACGTCGTTTCTGATTGGGTCCTTGTCTGTGCAGAGGTCTTGGTGAGCTGCGGCGGTTTTGGCCCAAAGTCTCATGGCTGCGCACACGTCTCTACAGCCGCAAAGCGATCCGATCTCCGCCATACCCCGGATCCTTTGTCGCATTGCCCATCTCGAAGTACATGGCCTTTTGCAATGCTGATGTCTACCCGTCGTGGTTGTGGTGTCGTATGGCACTGTTTTGCAGCTCGCCAGCAAGCCCCACGCGCAACGCATCATGTCTCGCCCGGCGACGCCACCATGTTCAGGTCGTCCGAGATGAGATATCGCACCCGCTAGATCTTCGTGATAGAAGCTCGGTATCATGATGAAGGTACCACATACTCGTCTGCAGTAGTGTTCGTCGATGAAATCTGTCCAGCCCGTCCGTCGTCCACAAAGATGCTCGAGAGGCTGAGAACGTGTAAGGGATGCATAAACAGAGACGTTGACTCCAGCTTACGTTCCATTTGGCCTTTCCTTAGCTCGTATTGTCACTTCGGATTTGTGTCGCTGCGAGGCAAATGTGAGACACTGATTCAACGTCCTTACTCTCAGTTGCGTGCTCAAGTAAATGCTCACATCGCATCTGATGTATCGCTTCCTCTATTGGCTAACGGTCCACCGGCATCGAGAGCACTACCAATATTCTCATTGTCTACTCATGTCGAGGCAATTTATGCCATCCACAGCGCACTGCGAGCGAAGCCAAAGACCACGAATCATTGCTTCACGCCTCATCAAGGTTTTAACCAGATTGTAGAGCGAAGGCCGTTCCAGACGGCATGATAAATATCGCGTGTTTCCTCCCTGTCATGATCGTGAGATATCCTACGCAATCCCCAGAACGTTACCTCTACCCACCGGACCAGAACCGTTGCAAGGTTTCCATATCGCTAGACATCAGTCGGACCTGCCCTGTGACCCATACATAAGTCCGTCATACCCAACCACATACCCTTCTTCCATGTGCTTCTCCGCTGACTCAAAAAGACCAGGCGCAATGGACAACCGTCGTTCTCCTCTACCTATCTGGCTCGATGTCGTGTTGTTCATAAACCTCACCACTGTCATTGTCTGTGCTTCCAAGATCTTCCTTCGCAGTCTCGGCTACTTGGACGCCAACTATGTCTCGAGGTCGGACACAGATGCTCGCGTGTTGTTTCTGGGCGGGTTCGTCATGATCCTGATTGCCATCATGATCATGAGGAGGGCACACGCCGTCATCAGAGACATGGAGAAGCTCAAGTCTAGCATGTTGCTAGCCCGTCGTGAGCTGGTTATCGCCGAGCGTGATCGTCGAGAGTCGCTAAGGGAGGAAGAGGACGAGGAAATCGAGCTCATATTATCGGACGCTACTACCGATACGGTGCAGGCAAATCTGAACGCACTCCGAGCTTATGTCGACGCCAATAACGACATCATGGCGATTCTGGACAGAATGCATGGTCGCAAGGACCCCGATATGGCTTCCATCAGGAGTGTGCTCGAGGTTAGAAACACCATCGAAGAGCTGAGGAAGAAAAGTGGCGATGAGTTCGAGTTGTACATTGATCGCTTGGACATCATCCGCTCGGCTTTCAGGCAACGAGACACCTAGGATACGTACCATGTTCTTCTACCCGGACTTTGTTAGCGAGACGAAGGAGGTCATGTTTCCTTTCATACATGTATTCGTGTCTAGGACTTTCCTAGTTACTGCAAAACTACTTAGCTAGCATAGCAAAGATTCTATCAGCGTCTTATCAGTTCTCTCACTGTAACGAATAAATGTCTCCTGTTTTGCAAGTTATCATAGATAAGATTCAGCTACAGCCAGTGTACTGCTTTCTCCATACTAGGCTCGTCTTTACCCGAAGTTGCTGCGGAAAAGACAGGAGTAAGCCAAGGAAGATGTTTCTATTGTGATGCATCGTCTTCTCTGCCAAGGGTAATACACAAGACCCTCATCCCTCATAGAAGATGGATAGTCCAATAGTCTTCAACCCCACTTCCAACCCAGTCTGAGAAGCGTATGTAAATGCGAGTACATTAAGACCACCTACATGTCGATCGGCCGAGCAATGCGGGAAAGACAAGTCAAGGCTGGTACGAAGGGCAGCTCGGATCGCTACCATTTGACAATGAGGCATCATTTCGGCTTCCTACCACTCTATTTGACATTGACATCGTTGCTTGCTGAGGCGCGGCACCGGCATTGCAATCTTGAGACCGGTGCGAAATGCAGGCCACATCTGAGCTCGTCGAGGGATCATCGGGCTGTGCGCATTCCTGTCCGCCTCTCCCCGCTACCCGACACAATCCACGATCAAGCTCCCGGGCCCATCACCCCAGCGAGGCCAACACCGTGTGACCGGGTGTATGTATGTGCCGTCCTCCTCGTGTATCACCAACCCGCCGGCATAGCAAAGAGCGGCTTCGCTTATTCGGACGTCGTCGAGGGGACAGATTTTGAAGAGGGTCATTGTGGGCGCATCGCGGGCTGGGACAGGTGCTGCAGACAATCGCATGGCTGGCCCGGATCGACTGGGAGGAGGCGCGGATGAAGATTGGAGGCGAGCGATGTGCAGAGGACGGGAGCATCAGCCTCGACCACCAACGCGTAGCGCAGTGAAACCGCCAAGATCTTCGAGCGCGAAGATAGATGCCAATTCGCTGTGTTCTACATCTCATCTGATGGTATTAGCTTTGCCCGGCACTGCTCCGATATCTTGTCATCTTGTGGTGTCGGCTCAAGCTCCTGCACCGACCAATCGAGAAAGACTGGCCAAATGTTCCAACGCCAGTAGCCGTGCTTTCTCCCTCTCACTTCGTCGGCTTGTCTAATCTCAGCCGCGTCGAAGGGGTGTTGATGCGGGGTGGAATCGAAGACAGGTGCGTGTGCGTATGCGGTAGAGGGCATGTTGACAGACGATGAAAGACAGTCGCAGCTTGGTACGCTTCTGGAAATCACGAGTCAGTGTTAAGCCAATCTAGATGAAAGAAGCCTGGGCAGTTCGTACCCGTGGATGGCGGTGATATGGCGGTGATATGGCATTGCAGCACGAGCTCTTCGAATAGCAATACCCTCCTCATGGCAGTTGATGCGCCTTCATACGCGCCTCAGTACTTACAATGTCATTTTGCCCATTTGGGAACACGACTAGAGGCTGTGGCGCCGTTGGCACTGCTGGGTGTCGTGGTTTGGTGTTGCGATACGCGCCGTACATGGCTAGTGACGTCGCATCACGAATGGCGCATCGCAATGTTACGATTCGAGAGAGACGCAGTGATGGTAGTGTAGAGCGCAATTTCAGTCTGGGGTCACAGGTACCAGATGCGCATACGGACGTACGCGGTATCTGCACTCGGGGGCGCGGTGGCCTGTGATCTTGCCCGGGTGGAAGCTGACTAGTCGGCACGTGATGATGACAGCTTGGCAGAGTCCAGGCTCCCCGCAATCGAGGCTCAGCGCCTGTGCCAGGTGCTTTCGCATCCTCGTACCCCATCGGCACATAGAAGAACACCTAATCTGCCAATGACGGCGCTGTCACCCACAAACGGGAGCCATTGCATTCTTGTTGGGCGCCGCCCCGGAGGCAAGGCAGCTGACTTCCGCGCTAGAGAGTTCGCGCTGAACTTCAACGAAGGGCGACAACACTATACCAAGCTCGTTTTTCCGTCTAAGATCTTGGGGGAAGATAGAAGTATAGTTGAATTGATGTTTGCTCAACATTCTGCCCGGATAAAATCGACTGATCAGCCCCGGCGATAGAGAAGTAAACGGCACGGAAGACGATGAACTCAACGATGCCAATTCACATGCGCTGGAACGAAGTCAAAAGAGTCAAGCCATATTCCGGCATCAAATGTTTGAGGAAGAGTTAGATACTGGTCCATGTATCACCCCAAACCGTACGAAGGAAAGACGAAAGTCCAGAGCCCAGCATGCCATCCCAATTCCAACGCCAGCCGTAGTCCACCACCTACAGGTCTTTGATGATGCTCTTCATGAACCACATCATGACTATGAGCGAGAAGAACATGAGAATTAGGGCTTGTCCGATCGCCACGGCAGCCATGACCATAGCGACAATCGTGGCGAGACCCTGACTGATAACCACGCTGCAGAACATCGTGATGACAACCTTGGCTTTGGCTTTCGCTAGAGCAACGTCCACCTCTTTATGGAGATATTCGACCCGCTTAGAGGGGACTGGCGTCTCTATATGGTCGTGCTGACCGGCCACTGAGAGTTTAGATGTGAGCAAACGTATGCAAAAGTGCAGGTATATCGTACCTTCCACCGGCGCTACCTTCCGGGCTTCGACCGCAGAAGGCGCGTCCTCACATTCATTCCCATGCGGATTCGACGATGGGAGCTTTGCCTTGCCCGCGAGCAGCAGGTCATCGTATGGGTCTCCTTCAGTCTCTGGTCCAACATGAGTTTTGCCATCACGTACGGCTGTCGCACCAGAGTCGTCACTTACCATTGCTGGAAGCATGCATGGTGAAGAGGGTGCTGATACGTTCGGCAAGCGGACTGTCGAACAGTTGGTCAGGATCACCAGGTTTGAAGAGAGGTTGCAGCTCATAGACTTCTTCGTGGCGTGAATTGTTGACGTTGCCGACGCCCGACATGACGGTGAGTTGATAGAATGTCTTCGATTTGAGGATGGTGGGCGCGTGGTGATGGGCGAACAGGGTGATAGCACGATTTCGAGGAAAGATCAGCCGTGAACAGACATCCGATGTCGTGCTTTAAGAAAGGGGACGGGAGCTGACTTCTTATCCAGACCGCGTTGCACGTTCAATACTCTTTCAAAACAAACCAGCGATTGAGCTTAGAGACACCCATATTTTGGGTAACGTATTGTCACGCTCAGCGCTGTCCGTGTTTTGAAACTTCGTCAATCGACGTTTGGCCCAATCTGCCGGCTAAGACATGAAGGATTCGCTCCCGTCTCGGTCATGAGAAGCAAAGCGTCCAGGTACCGGGCCTTGGCACCATCGTTCTCGTTGTCGAACTTGCCTGTACTTATAACAACTCTTATAGCGGGTTGCATTATCAGTATTTCTCCGCTTCTTGTTCGCAAAGACCAGAGTGCGATGCGGCGACCATTGGTGCTCGCGTGAGTTCTGGCGTTTGGGGCTCATGCGGCACAGACACAACGAAGTTACACAAGACGCCGCTGCCGCTAGCCACGCCGACTTCATTTCGTGTGAAACCGGGTACCGGATCCCTCCCGTAATCGATGTTCTTGGGGACGCTGTCAAGACCAAAACAAGCAACGCACCCACGTGCGCGGGGACAACGTTCTTCGCGATAACACGCATTCGGACTGGTAAAAGCCAGTGGTGTTAACCCCTGCGTACTTCGTTCCGTGAGATCTGCTAGGATCTTCAAAACATTTTCCATTGATGTAGATCGAATTGAAGCATAGATTTACTTGTTCCGTGCACAGATAGACTTGTATCTAGCCATGTAATCATGCTAACTTGTTGCAAAACCCTGGAAGAACGTCTGCGCACAGTGATTGACACTTGAAGCCTCATTACATCACTGGCCATGACGGCATTTCTGATCAATACTATTCTCGTCGCTTTCTTGACAAATGGAGAACGCACAAGCGTATCGTCCCCAGACGCGGTTGCAACGCGGTCCTTTCACAGTGCAGTTTGAAGTATGCTGTAAGAGGTGTCGATAAGGCTAGAGAGAACTTGAGCGCTCGTGATTTGAGTGAGACGTTGTTACACGGGCAGTAAAGAGTGAGCATAGCTTGACTGAAGAATCGTCCGCGACGATGCCGGGGATTAGAAAGAATTCCCGACGCCTAGAAGAAGTCGTTCCATTGATCTTGTCAATACGAGGGACGTATCAGTTCGTCGTGGTGTACCTGCGCGTTCGGCTGCGGGTGGGTTGAGTGTCTCGCATTTCCATGCGCAGGAGACGCTAGCAGAAGTTCCCCAAGTGAGGAGTTGATCATATTCATGAAACCGAGCAGGTCTTGAAAGAGGCAAGCATTACTCCGATTGAATTTCGCATTCGTCAGCACTCAGCCTAGCTTGGTCACTCAATCGTGGAGAAGGAGGAGATCTCGAGATGCCGGATACGATTTCGGGGTGATAATTGAGACGCAGCTTAACGTATATATCCCCTTTGCTGTCGTTCCTCACAGCCTCTGTGCTACTGACTTCACTCGAAGTGCATGTCCTTATACTCATCGTCCACCCTAAAAAGTTGTCTAACCTATGAACCACGAACCTTGGTCATCCCAGTGCCCGCAGAATACTGCCGCATCGACTGCTCGGAGCGCACAAGCTGCTAGCAACATCGCTGCGCAGTACTACATCGACGTCATCTTCGCGTCGTCCATGTGTGGGGTGGGGACATCCAGCTGCGACTGCGTCCACGATGACCTGAGAAAGATTGGCGAAGCCGGATAGGATGACTTGGTAACGGACAGGGATGCGACATACATCATGGTTGGCAGGACCACGGGATGGCAGGCCTGTGTTGTGGTTCGTATTGATGGTCCAGGGCTGCGATGGAGAGTGATGCGACGGTATTCATGGCGGAATGGACGGTCCAGTTGGGTTGGGACCTGATCGAGTTGATGCGCCGCCCATGGCCGCGATGCCAAAGTGCGACGGCAAGGGCTCCATCACATCCTTGATAACGACGTTTGGCAAATCCACGTATTTCGCATCCTTTGAGGTTGCCGTAACCGTCCCGTTTTCCATGCACCACGATATGGCGAAATCCTTCAAACGCCACTTGTATATGTTCTTGTTCGAAGAGGAAGATACAGGATGACTGTATAAGAAGTGGGAGTGCTGGGTAGCGACTGCGGATCAGGCGCGATCGTACTTGTAGCTTATCGATGAGAGCGTCCGGCGATGACGCTCGAACACATGCTCGTGATTCAGTCTATCTCGCCTCCGGCTACGTGTTGATGACTCCATCCTGTACGGAGCGAAGGCCCAGGGACTGGGGAGGGAGGATCGGCTGAGAGGGGGCAGTCTGGCTGCAATAAGTGGGAGCGTCAAGTTGTCGTCGCCTGAGCAGCGCTGAGGTGGGCGGGGTGTCGGTGGAGTGTCACATCGGTGTGGGCGTTCATGTATAGCGAGGGCGTCGAGTGGGCGGTCTTGAGGTCGAATGCGGCATCGGCGACATGTTGACAGTGCTCGTCGTCGCTGCCTGGCCAAAGACACGCGGTACGTCCTACGGTGTCGTGTCAGTCGCGACAGAAGTAGCTTTGGGGATAGGGCGGTGAGAGTGTACCTTTGAACATCAGGAATATTGCGATGTCGCTCGCATTATACGTTGATGTAATGCGTGTAGGGTAGAGCGATTGCGCAGTGGCTGTCTCTTCGGCGGGTGTGCGCGTATCGTGAGGGTTGAGGGGCTTGCCTGAGGCGCGACGCGCGCCGGCCCTGGAGCGCGCGGGGCCTTGGCGGCTACGTCAGACGGGCGGGCAGGCGTACATAGTAGAAGGACTGCCGGTGTGCTGGCTGCGGTAAGAGCGAAGGCAAGTCATTATAGAGAAGGCGATGGTGATGTCGACGAGAAATAACCTAAGGACAGCGACGTGGGAACGCAAGGGTGTGGGTGGTTGGGCGTGGTGCTGGCTGTCGCGTTCCGGGTGAAGGTCGGGTGTCGTTCAGGTCAGCTGAGCATGTCGTCTCGTAGCAGTTTAATTGTGTAGAAGAGGCCTAGGGCAAAAGGGCCGTCCGAGCTGGAGTGCAACAGTGTCGTTGAATCAAGCCTGCGCCGGACGCCCGAAGCCTGCCAACGGTGCAGCGCCCCAACGTTGGGGTTGGTGCTCTTTTGCGCCAGTTCCCCCGCCCAAGAGATCCTCTCTCCCCCACAACCATCCGACATCTCGACAACAGCTAACGGACACGGCCGCAGACTCTCGCGCCCGCTACCTGTGGTGGACCGAATGTGATATGTGGTGCCATGTCGACTTGTGGTCGCAATAACCTCCTGGCGGTGTTCACCAGAGCTCAGGCAAGCTGGTGAAGAAAGAGGAACAAGAGTTGGAGAAGGGGCTCAGGGTGTGGTGCCGGATTTTAGTACGCCGCTTGGTACAAGCTATTTGAAGTACTCCTCCCGGGCTATGAACGTCTTGAGTTGCCGTCAAGACCAACCTCAGCCTGCCTTCTCTTCTTTCCAATCACGTCAATCAGTACGTCGAGGTCGAGGTTCTCCTCCCCGCGACCAATCGATCACCGATCGCGCTGTCACCGGCGCCGACTTTCACATAGGCCGATCTTTGAGATTGTCTTCATCTTTCCATCAACTTCAAGAAGACTGAAGCGGTGATGTCCATCAGGAGGGCCAGGCCCTTCAAGTGCTTTCTCATGCCCCGCAGTCTATATCCCTTGGCTACTGCCACTTCCCTGGTTCTTGCATCAATCCGGCATGGCGGAGGAGCGGGAATGTGCTGGGAGTAGACGAGGCACTGTATCTTCGGGAATTACCAAGTGATGAATGCTAGAAGGTGCCTGGCAGTCGACACCTAGAAGGCTTCGCTCTGGGACTGGCTCGTGGAAACCTCAGTAATCTCATGTTATTGATATGAGCTGATTGCATCACGTAACCGCAGCCGCACTGTCGTGTCCCGTGACTAGGACGCACGTATACTCGGAGTGACTAACGGCCTCCTTGTTGTTAGGCTATTATGGATGTGAGGCATCATAATTCGGTCGGAGGATTTTGGAAAGATTTGTTGAACTACTTTTAGTGCACTAAGATACCCTATTTTGTCTAGAACTCTTGCAGCATTCGTGCTCCACGTGCTATACCACGATGTCCACCAAGAACCACACGAGTCCTCGCCCACTCTCCACTGTCTGATGCTTCTAGGCTGTCTTCACGAGCCTGAATACATAATAATAGGATACCCGAGTCCATGGACTGTTAATTACATGCCGATTGGGACTGCACACTGTTCACCTCACCTTAAGGCGCTCCTCAGATCCGGTATCAAACGTCTCCGTAAGGCCACCAGTCATCGAATTGACCATCAGGGGGGATTAAAAGGCGCTTCATTTGCACCATCCAACCCCATGCCATCGAGCCATTCGTGGATGACTTCGAAGCTCTTCTTTATCTTCTCTTCTCCGCTATCAAGGCTACTCTCGCAGATCATTCGGGCGATATTACGGCTTGGAATAGCGGTGTTGGTTCGACTCTGGTCGTCATAAGTCGAGCGGCGGTGGCGGGATTGGCGTATATCTTTCGAGTCTTGGTTTCCTTGACCAGGCCCTTGCCTCATAATGCCAGTCTGTATGGCTGGTCCAGTGCCTGGGAGTCTTACGCTGGCTTCGTTTCCGGCGGTCCGATTCTATGAAGAGTGCTGATGATTTGCTGGGCGCCTGGTGCTTGTCCTTGGTCGGAGCGCACTTCTTGCGAATGAGCCGACAACGTATGCTCTTGCGGTTGCTTCAGCTGCCATAACGACACGATCGAAGACGTTTGACTGATGACGTCTGGTGGGTGTGCTTTCGAATGGCTGAGGTCGTGTATGGTTCGCATCTTGCCCTTGTAGTTAGAAGAGAGTGCCGCGTGCGTCCCGACTCGCATGGTCGGCTTGGACGCTCCTTGTTTACATTTGATCATCACCCATGATTCC